GACAGTCCTGAAACCTTCATCTGTGTGTGCAATTGTTAGCTTTTGTTTTCATTAATCACCCCAAGCATCTGTATCTAGTAGGTAACTCCTGTCCTACAATAAATGTTCATAGCTATTTTATTAATAAACTTCAGAGTTAACTCTCCAAATAATAAAAAACATTAGACTATTCAGGGTTCTTTGTTTTTGTTTTAAAGATTTTTTATGAAATAGTCAAACACATATCATAAGGAAAGAATACAATTTTCTGATATTATTATTTTGTGTGTGTGTGTGTGTGTGTGTGTGTGTGTGTGTGTGTGAGAGAGATGAGGTCTCATGTAGCCCAGGCTGGTCTTAAACTCACTATATAGTTGAAACTAGCTGCTAAGATTACATGTATGTGGTAGCAACACCTGATTTCAAATGGCACCCAGGATGGAACCCAGGGCTTCATTCCTGCTAGACACACACTATACCTACTGAACTATATCCCCAGCCTCTGAAGGTTTTATTTTGTTACTTTTGGTTGAATGTCACAGAGAATTATATTGAACTCTTGACCAGCCTATTTTTTCCATTGGAATATTGGCCTGGATAAGAAATAACATCAAGGAAAAATTATTCTTTGGCAGGAAAATGTCCTCTCTAAATTCTTGTGTGTTTTGTTTTGATTTTTCCTTAGTGACTGGAGGCCAGTTTCAATCCATGCCGGCACAGATTCCAAATTTTCAATCTGGTTTTCCTGAATACTGACTGAGTGCCAAGAATGAGACAATGAGACAAATTACCACCAACACATTCACATCTACACACACACACACACACACACAGAGAGAGATACACACATAGAGAGAAACATATACATAGAAACAGACAGACACACAGATACACATACACACAGAGAAACACCCACACACATAAACACATACACAGAGATACACACACACAAAGACACACACAAATGCACAGAGATACACATACACAGAAACACAGAGAGAATCACACACATAAACAAAGATACACACACACAAAGATTCACGCAAATACACAGAGATACACACATACACAGAAACATACAAACACAGAAACACAGACACACACAGAGAGAAAAACAGACTCACAGAGATACACACACAGAAAGAAAAACACACAGACACACAGAGAGATATATACAGGCACACACAGAGATTCACAGCAGACACAGAAGGTGACACATAGAAATTCAGAAATACGCACACAGATTTACAGAGATACACACAGATACACACACACACACACACACACATAGAGACAAAGATATACAGATACACACACAAAAATATGTAGATATGCCGGGCGGTGGTGGTGCATGCCTTTAATCCCAGCACTTGGGAGGCAGAGGCAGGCGGATCTCTGTGAGTTCGAGACCAGCCTGGTCTACAAGAGCTAGTTCCAGGACAGGCTCCAAAACCACAGAGAAACCCTGTCTTGAAAAACCAAAAAAAAAAAAAAATGTAGATACATACAGGTATACATAGAGATTCACACAGCCATAGAGACACACATACACAGATAGACTCACAGACAAACACATAAACAAAGTGACACACAGAGATTTAGAAATATACACACAAAGAGAGATGCAGAAACACACACATAGAGATACATACAGACACACATAGACACACACACAGACACACAGAAACACAAAGATACACACACAGAGATGCAGGCAGCCCTAGAGAGACTCACAGATAAACACAGAGAGACACAGATACACAGAGATATACCCAAACACACAGAAATACACAGAGATACCCACAGAGATATATATACACAGAGTACACACTCAGATACACATGTGCAAACACAAGCATGAGCAATACCCAAGTCCCAGGTGTACCTACAGATTTGCATGTTTCTATTCCTTCTAACATTTACCCTCAAAATCGTGGAGTTTTTTCTACACCCCTAGATGATAGTCTATGTTCTTCTCTGAAATGATGGTCAGTATCCCAGACCTTAAGAAACACTGCCCTGCAACCATTCATTGATGACCACCAGCATCTGTTTTGCTTAATTTTCCTTCTTGAGTCAGAGTTGTGCTCTCAAGTCCAGGCTAGTCACTACATACCATAGGCTAGCCTCAAACTCACAGCAATCCTTCTGCGTCAGTTTCCCAAATGTTAGGATTATAGGCCTGAACTGAACTACGAATCCCTGATCTCTATTTTTCTTTCATTAGCACTTTGAAAATTTCAATGTAAAGCATTGATTATAATGATTAAAAAACAATGATTTCTTAATGGCTTAGAGAATTAAAATGGAAGTAAATATATATTTTTTTTTTGAAAAATGAAGAGAATCACAGATTCAGTACAGTGGTTGCAGTACCCTGCAGAATGGAGAGGATGGCAGTGCCCTGAAGGATGCAGTGGTAGCAGTGCCTGAAGGATGCAGAGGGTAGCAGTGCCCTGCAGTTAGGCTTGGGGACATTTGCCTCATCTGGGATCTGTTTTTTCAGCTACTGACTCAAGAAATCAATACCTGCTGAATGGTTGTTGCACTTCTTCCTAGAAGTTAACCCACTCTGTTTTCCATAAGTCCACAGATCCCAAGACAATGACAGCCAAGTCCCCATCATTAGCAGTGCTGCTTACCTTGTGTTGCTTCTCTTACCCTGCTCCAGGAAGGGCACTTTAAAGGCACAGTCAGTCAGACACTAGCTGACATTTAAGGTCATTTGCGATCTTGGTAAAGAACGGAGACTGTCTGAGGAGACTGATCTAATCACTGGTCGAATGTTTATTATGTGCGCCTACTAACCTTTCTGGTATTAGTTGACAATTGGTGAATGCCTGCAAAACCCTGTGTGTGTGTGTGTGTGTGTGTGTGTGTGTGTGTGCTCGTGCGCGCGATAATATAAAGGTCAGAGGTCAGCATCACTCCCCTGGAGCCATCTATCGTCTTTTCTTGGACAGGATCTCTGGGTAGGATCTGGGGCTCCATGATCAGGCTAGGCAAGCCCAGCTCTGGGCAAAAGTACATCCCTTAATGAGGGTGTTGTAACTCAGCCTTAAGTCCTCAGCTTATACCACACTTACTTTACTGAGTTGTCTCTCCAGCTCTTTTGCTTGATTGTTTGTTGTTTTGTTTGCTTATTTGTCTTTTCGAGACAGGGCTTTGCTAAGCAGACGGCCTTAAACTCATGGAATCCTCTGCCATGCTCAGCTCCAACCATTTATTGACACATGTAACTGTGAGTGGGAGAAATGGCAGATGAGTGAAAACCACAGTGTAGCAAGGTTGCCAGGATTCTTCACTATCTTGAAACTCTGTGTTCGATCTTCCTAATGCTAATCCCCTCTGTAATGTGGCTGCCAGCAGGACTCTGTTTCCTTTTCAGTCTGGGCAACACAGTAGCAATCCCTCTACAAACAGTGGAAGCAACACCTTTTCTTAGCCTCAGTTTGGTCAGTTGCTTATGTCCACAACAGTAGTTACCGGGTGGGCAGAGCTCGTCTTCCCAAGCCTTGAGGATTAGCGATATTATCAGTAATTCGGATGAATTAGTTCACTCCAAAAGCTGGACAATTCTGGAAGCACACTGCCAGCTACAGAGGGATGAGGAGCAGGCTGAACTGTGGGAAGGCCAGCTGCAGTGTACTCTGCAGGTATATAGATTCTGTCACTGAGCAGGATGAAGAGCTGGGAGAGTGAATGGCTTCCCCAAGATCACAGAAGAACCTAGCCACCCTCCCATCTCAAGGTGCACTACCTCCTGTGTGTTTGGGGGAGCTGTCAAAGTCATAAGGAGAAACTATACTGAGAGCGACCACAACAGTGGCTGCCAGGCAGAAATTTCATTTTATTCCTTCCAATTTTTCCTGCCCCCTCCAGCTGAAGGAGCAGATTTTAAAGTGGAAACCATGAAGGGGTTTTTTTTTTCAAGTGCCACTGCCCAAGTTTCTACTAGGTAGAAAAGCAGAATTGGATCAGGCATGGTGCCTTATGCCTGCAAGCCTAGTGCTTATGAGGCTGAGACCTGGGGGTCCTGGATAAGTTCAAGGCCAATTTCACCTGTGTACTGAGTTCCAGGATAGCCTGGGCTGTGCCTGGAGACCCTGCCTAAAAAAAGAAAGCACATCACAAACCCTTGCTTCCACCCTCTCAAAGTGGAGAAGAAGAGAGACAAGAACAAACTGGAGGTTAGCAACCACCAGCCCGGCGCACTGATGGCAAAGGGATTTTACTGGCGGCTGTGGTTGCAGAAACAAGCCTCTTGACTTCTGTCTCCAGGAAGTCACATCCAGAAAACCTGCAGAAAGAAAGACAATGTTTTGTTTGGTTGGGTTTTTTTTTTTTTTTTTTTTTTTTTTGGTACGGAACCATACCAAAGGATACCTGCTCCAACATGATATAGATCTTTGAAAATTTACACGGGTTTGAGTTTATGTCAAACAAGACCTATAGATTAGATAAGAAATGCACCAGGGATTGCCTCTAGACTGTAAAATGGCCCAGGAAAACCTTGGAAGTGTCTACTGCAATGCTGTGCAAAGAAATTTACCTTGAGGCATATCTTTAATAGTTTAAAGATCTAATATCACTTGAAAACAAAAACACATAAAAAGATGCTAGAACATGAAGACTTTTTCTGATGTCATGCTTACTAACTCAATATCCACCATTCCTTTCCTTCCTCTCCTCCCTTCTCCCTCCCCACTGCCTCCTCCTCTTCCTCTCATTCCTCCTCCTACTTACCCTGTTTCTTTCAATACCCCCTTTTTTTCCATTAAAAAAAGAAAAGAAAGAAAAAAATTGGACACAAGGACTAGTTCCGTACCATAAAGAATACGGAGGAACCAGAACAATTGTAGATTCCACAAGGACTGTAGCATACCCTGGTCAAGAAACACTGGGATAAATGAACTTATGGTCTGAAACTTCAGGCTAAAGAATGTTTGCTAACATAGTGAAGAAATGTGTACATACTGTGAAAATCTATAAATCTATTTCTGATTTTTTTCTCTTGTTCAGCATCTCCAAAAGTACCGAGCTCCTATTAGCCACAGGGAAACGTCTGTAAGCTGTAGCAGCTGGTGTCACCTTCCCTGTGTGGATCACAAGGTTCTTGGCAATCACTTCCATACCAGACCAGTGAGTACTGTTTTTCTCCTTTCCAAATGGATAAACAGAAGCGAGCTGGAGATAAAGGCCCGCTTCAGTACCACACACTGCAGTCACCCTGGGGAAACAATGGCTGCCAGTCTTCTCCCCCTTCAACCATAAAGAGCTCTCAAGCTCTTGCTGTCAACCGGAGTTCTGGAAAGGTCACACTGGCCGAGAGGCATAATTGGTCTACCCTCTGCACCACAGACTCTGCTTCCAAACTCAACCAAGCCAAAACATCAAGAAATGTGTCTGTACTATGTGCAGACACGTACCCTCATTATTATGCTCCAAACTATATGCTGTGATAGCTGTTTTGTAGCATCAACTCCTACAGTTAAGCAGGAGCAGAAGGGAGGCTGTGCAGACACTGTATGCAAGTATCATGGTACTTACACAAAGGTCCCGAGTTATTAGCTCTAAGCAGAAGAGAGAGAAGTAAAACAATGGAAAATCTGTGTCTAAAAAAAAAGAAATTAAATATAGCTAGTTATAAAGGGATACTTTTGCACAGCAAAACAAAAGTCAAATTGTTTTTCCTTAAGTAGTAATTTTTACCTCTTTATTGTCATTCACTCATTCGTTGATTCAATAAACAGTTATTGACTGATTGCCTTCAATGTACCAAACATCGCTATACTAGAAACAGAGAAAAATTATTAAGACTAGAAATGTTTATAATAACAAATAGCTTAACAGATATTGATCGTTATTGGTGAGGGTGGTAAAATAGCAAAGCCTGACAAGAACTAACGGTTTCTCTGGGGCCACATCCATTATTACCACACAAATAATCTATCTTGCAGTTCTCTTTTGGGGTTCTTTGGCCTTCCCTTCTGCCTGGTGATGCTTCCACCAATTAGAATGGCCCTAAACTCACCCTTTTTTTAAAAAAAAAAAAAAAGCTGCTGGAGGGGACAGCATTGTGCTTTTAGTTTGCTTGTTTGTTTGGTTTGGTTTTTTGAGACAGGTTTCTCTGTGTAGCTCTTCCTGTCCTGACTCTGTAGACCAGGTTATTCTCAAACTCAGAGATCCAAGTGCATCTGCCTCTCAATACTGGGATTAAAGGCATGCATCGCCTCTGCCCATCTTCTTTGCAGTAGTCTTTAACAGAACTTCTTTACTGCTTACTGACATACTAGAAAGATATAGGAGATAGCAGACACGGTGTCTTAGTATTGTTTTATTGACAACAGAAGCTATCAGTTCTTCCTCTCCACTCTGTTTAGATCAGAGTGAGGCAAACGTCCCGCGAGTCAGCGACTCCATCCCGTAGATGGTGGTTGGGAAGCAGTGCTTTAGAAAGGACTCCAGTGTTAATGTCAGTTCACGCTGCTGATGTACTCAGATGTGAGGAAATCTTCCGGGCCCACAGTGGGGAAAGTGTGGAGGCAGGGTGGAGTGATGCAATATTTCTTAGTGTTCATGAGATTTTGCAATTTGTTTTTCAGTCTGCTTGGACGTCTAAAAAGGAAGAGTCTCGTGTGTCAACAAGCACACCAAGTGAAGCTTCCCAGCGCAGGAGCAGAGACACAGAGCTTAATGTGACTTCACATCCATACTCATTTCCCTTGATGAGGAGTGGCTGCAATGAAGTCTTGAGAAATGCAAGTTTTCCTCGGACGGGTTCACTAGCTTGCTTCATCTGAAGAGTCAAGCATAAGTGATGTCTAATCTCGTAAGAAAACTTTCTATTTTCTCCCCCAGTCAAATTGGGAACAAGTGAAGGGAAGTTCAGATGTCCTTACTTGCCAGTGTTCGTCATTTATGTGGTCAGCACATGTAGGGGCATGGCCAGCTTGAAAACAAGAAGCTGCAGCTTGTTTCCAGGGCTGCAGTGTGAACTGCGCAGATTGGAGAGCTGTGGAGCTGGGCTCACTCACCTTTCATAGTCCCAGCCACAACTCAGATTGGAGAGCTGTGGAGCCGGGGTAACTCACCCCTCATAGTCCCAGCCACAACTCAGATTGGAGAGCTGTGGAGCCGGGGTCACTCACCACTCATAGTCCCAGTCATAACTTAAACTTGTGCTTTTCTGTTGTGAAACAGTCAGTAAAATTACCAACGAGAAAAACAAAAACAAAGCAAAAGCAATCAGACTCCCATTCTGTCTTTTCTCCAGCCACTGTGAACAGCTCCCGTGGTGTTAGCAGTTCTTCTGCCCTCCCACAGATGTCTGCTTCCACCTCTGGTGAGCAGCGCTGGAATGGTGCTTACAGGTCTCCCATATGAGGCACACTAACCGGAGACAAAGCTCTGACATGGCATTAAGAATTGAAGCAACGGGGTCAGCAATGTGGCTCAGTGGGTGGAGGGCTTTGCCTTCAAGCCTGACAATCAGTTTAGTGACGAGACCCTACACAGTGTAAGGAGAGAACTGTCTTCTGCAAATTCTCCTCTGACCTCACACACACTTTGATATGTGTATGACAAATATGCAGAGGTAAAAGAAGGTTTTTACGATTTTATTTTTAACAGTGCGCGCGCGCATGTGTGTGTGTGTGTGTGTGTGTGTGTGTGTGTGTGTGTACGTGTGCTGGAGAATATGCCATACATTACAGGCTTTCTCAGAGCCCAGAGGCATCAGATGTTTTGCAGCTGGGGTTTCAGGTGCTTGGGAGCTGCTTGTATGGTTGCTGGGAATGGAACTTGAGCTCTGTGGGAAAGTATTACATGCTTTTACCCACTGAGCCATCTGTCCAGCTCCCTGGTTTTTTTTTTGTTGTTGTTTTTTAAGGTTTTAGTGCTTAACGAATCTGAACAATAAAACATAATTGTCTGGAAAAGTGAGCTTTAGAGGCTGGCTGTTTCAACAAACTTCATACTTGGTTTGGCGTTGGCTGATGGAAATTTGCCCTTTGGTTGCCAGGTTTGGTGACAAACATCCATAATCTCAGCCATTGGGAGGCGGAGGCACTAGGAGGTGTAGCACGGCAACTCTTATACAGGAAAACATTTAACGGGGCTATCTTACAGTTTCCGAGGTCTAGTGCATGATCATCATGGTGGGACATGGAGGTATGCAGGCAGACACATCTTGATTCTCATGCCACAGGAAGTGAACTGTGCCACCAGGTGTAGCTTGAGCATAGGAGACCTCAAAGCCCACCCCCTCAGTGACAAACTTCCTCCAACAAGGCCACATCTACTCCAGCAAAGCCACACCTCATAATAGTATTGCTCCCTTTGGGGGCCATTTCTTTCAAACCACCACAGAGGGTTAGTTTTTCTCTGACTCTTAAGTTTGCTACTTATGGGGACAAGGTTTTGGACTCCTAGTTGTGGCTCTGCCTGAGTGGTGACTCCAGACAGGCAAGTGCCACTCTGTCAGTGGGGGTGACTCTTTGTGAGCTTGCTTGTGCCTACTGGAGACTGTACCCAGGGCCTATGCATTACAGGAAAGTCCATCCTCTTGATTTTAAAAATAAGACTAAAAGGGATGTGTCTATCTACTTATTCATGTATCATTTTTTTTCTATTTCAAATTTTTTTCTATTTCTTGCATATGTGTGTAAGTGCGGATGCATTCATAAACACCAGAGGACAACTTTTGATATTATCCTCCTTCCGATGTGTGTTGCAGTCATCAAATTCATTGCTGCCCGGGCAGTGCCGGACCAGCTCACTGACTCTATGTAAGTGTATGTGTGGGTGGGTGGGGTGTGCACGCACACAAGTGTGTATCCATACTCCTGTGCAGGCCGGACGTGGATATTACTTCCTTGGTGACCTTTCACCTTATACATGGGGAGGAAGCCTCCCACTTGAGCCCAAAGCTGGCAGATTTAGCTTGCTCTGGGGATTCCCTGACTACTCCCTAAACACTGAAACTACAAGCAATCAGGGGACCCGACTCCAGTACTCAAGCAACTTAAATCGAGACAAGTCATGCAAGGCAGCTTATCCTCGACCCCATCATGTAGCTGAAGAGTTTTAGACTTCTGACTACTAGGATTGCAGGTCAATACCTCAGCACCCAGCTTTATGGGGTGCAAGAAATGGAACCCCGGTCTTTGTGCATGCTAGGCAAGAGCTCTAGTGACAGACTCATCAGTGTGTTTTGAACAGTAAATCTTCCGGCTAAATGTAAAGGGACAGTAATAGGTTATATGGAAGTAAAATGCACTCTTAGGATTTTATTGTCGGTTCCTGAGGCAAGCCTCTGAGATAATCTGCATACCGTGGGGTTGGTTTTCACTGTGTACTCTGTCACTAGTCTTAGATTTACTATGTGTTTTCCTAGACTACCTTGTGTTAATAGGAGCAGTAAACATGTTCATCTACTCTAAGTCACAGACCATTCTCTATGAATTAAGAATCATTCACATCATTTTAAAGCCAACACACAAGACAATTCTATGCAGAGAAAGAACACGATGATCCTAGAATTGTGGTGAGGACACAATGAATCTCATGTCACAGCAACTTCTGTGAAGATTTAAGATTTAATCTGAACCAAAATAAAACTCCACCTCCTCTAAGATCTCCTATAATTTCCAAGGTCATTATTTTTAAATGAATATTACATCCATTTCTTATATTTCATCTATATAATACTAGTCTAGATGTATAATATATTTTTACAAAGTATAAAACTCATTACCAAGCAAAAATTGTGGCAAAGGAAGAAATGTTTGGGGATGAGTGACGTTAGCAAGGTCTGCCTTGCAGGAGGTTGGTCCTTTGTGTATCCTCTGGATCCAGAAGTTGGAGGCAGTGGTCCAGCGAGCCAGAAACTGCCTGGCAGCATCGACATCCTGGCCGGTGCTCCAGATAGGTTGCATTTTTTGGCTTTCATGCAGAAGGAACAGTTCAAGTGTGAAAAGCAGGACTGAGGCCTCTTTCTCCTTTGCAGGAGCCAGGATGCCCCCAGTTCAGCCAGGAGTTAGCTTGAGGGTGGAGTGACCCAGCACTCCAGGAGTGGCACATGTCAGTAGGAAAGGTGCCAGGGCAGCGTGTCAAGCAAAGAACTGGACTCGCAACACAGCCTTTTCTTCATTAATATGCCGCATTTCTGGCTGGCTGGGCTGAGGTAGGATTAAGATGTGATTTTCATGCTGCTGAGAGTTGGGTCAACCTTGGAAGGGACGTGCTGGGTGAGAGTCGGGGTGAAGCTGAGGAGGCCAAACCTTTCAGGGAGTTACCTGGATGCGTATTTTACCCCTTCCCATTCTACTCTGTCTCTGTCGCTCTCTTTCCTTCCTACCTCCCTCCCTTTCTTTTTCTTTTGTAAGACTTGCAAAGACCTCACGTTTCGGCCATTGTTCAATTTTTTTTTTTCATTTTTGTTTTCCCTGCATAACCAAATACTGCATCAGGTTTTCCCAAACCCTGCATCGGATGGAAGCAAACAGCTACAAACTAACTCCCAGCATGATGTGCCCCTTGCACTGCTGGCATTTGACGTCCTTTTATTGTCACAGTGTTTGTGGAAGTTGCTTTGGGTTCAGCTGTCGCACTGTGTCCCAGTAGTACAGGCTCAAATCAGGCGGAATCTTCCACACTGAAGCTCTGTGTCCCCAGCTGCAAAGAATCTGTATCTGGCCTTCTGAGGAATTAAGAATTAGGTTTAGAAATATAACAGAAATGTCTTAACTAGGTCATGTTCAGTTGCCTTGATAGTTAAGCTAGTTCTTATACAAATGAAGTGATTTGAGTAACTTTAAGTTAAGCAATTAGGGAGAGTAACTTAAAATGACTCGTTCACTTTTTTTGAGACAGACAGGGTCTTGCCTCACACAGGGTCTGTGTCCTGGGTGCCAAGGCTGTAACATGTAACCTTGTCCAGTCTGCTCTTTCTTCTTTGGTTTTTATTTTTCTTAGCTCTTCACTCTCCGTATAATCAACCTACTCAGCTGAGCTCAGCCCAACAACCTATTGTACTTTATGTAATCACAAGATGGAGGATAAAATCAATTAGGATCATTAACCTGTTGCCATTAGTCCTTTGACAGATGACAGGGGAAAAATTAAAACTTGTTTTCTTCACTCTCAGAATAGACACAGAACACGTGAGCGACCGACAGACGCGGGCTTTCCTCAGGTAGACAGTTTGCTAGCTCTCACCAACTGAGGATGCACTCACTGCACTTAATTCTGGCACAGTCTACCTGGAACCAGTTCAAATCTTGCAGGCTAAGGTTTTAAGTTCAAGGTAGTAACCTGTATTTCTGACAGCAGGCGACAAATCAAGGTTCTTACAGCCTGGTCTCTACATCCAATAACTCGTTAGTATTGTTCACCCATTTCAGAGAGGCAAAGCGTTTCAGTTCCCGGCTTACTATAAGGTTATAGACAAGTAGCTAGATGGAGAGGCCATGTGAGGTCGGCGGGGAAGGGCAAGAGGGAGCACACAGTTTTCACTTCCTCTTTAGGTGTAACCACCAGGACAGCCTTGTTTCCTGGCTAGAGGGGTTCCAAAACTTGCTTGGTGGTCCCCACAGCTTTTTAAACTATTTATGTGTTTGTGTGTTTTGCCTGCATGTATGTCTGTATACTACATATGAACCTGGAAAGGCACTGAATCTCTTGGAACTGGAGTTGCAGGTGGCTATGAGCTGCCATGTGGGTGCTGAGAGTAAAACCTAGGTCATCTGGAAAAACAGCCAGTGCTCTTGACCTCTGGGTCATTTTTCTAGGGCTTTCTGCCACATCTCACCCCAGTTCCTGAAGGCTGACGGGTGGTGCCTACAGTTCTAAACCTCCAGGCTGGTGATCCATAGATCTTTGCTGTGTCTGGTCCCAACCGGAGGGTCCCTGTAGCCCTGGCCTGCTCTGCCTCATTACCATGAACCCGATATTGCCCCAAAGGAATGGTTTTGCTTGTTTGTTTGTTTGTTCTTGGGAAAGGGGTTTAGGAATGAGTCTCATTTAGTCCGGGCTGACCTGAAACTCCTCCTGGAACTGAGGATGACCTGGAATTTCTGACTCCCCTGGGCAACACAGGCTGTGTCTGCACCTGAACAATCCTACAGTTTTTAAAAGAAGCACTGGGGCTGAGACCAGTATACAGCACATATTTTGAGTGGGAGAAGACACCAACACTCAAAAAACTCCATGGTTTTAGGATTCTCGTAATTAGAAGCAGGGCAAAGAGCAAATGTACTTCACACCAGGATAGTAGACTTGGGAAAGGAATGCAAGCACAGAGTTGTGTAAATCGAAGGCAAACGTACCCCTCTACGTCTTCCGCGTCACTCTTTAGAGGTGATGACTGTCAACACTTTGTAGGTGCAGACTGCAATTGGAGGAGGGACCAGCTATACTTTGTCTTCTTGCGCAAGGCTTGCCCTGTGCTGGGGTTCTGTGGGTCTCAAGAAGGAAAACAAACCTTGGAAGTGACCTGCAGAACCTAGTGCATGCAGAGAGGGTGTAACCGCTGACATGAAACATGACTGAGACCATGCAATCATGACACTCAGGTGTTCGTGTTCCAAACCCTAAACAAGGTCCCACAGCAGTCAGATGAAGACTTCAATGACTGAACCTCAGTGGAAATGGGAATTAAACTTTGCAGTGGTTACAACTTCATAGTTTACCTTCATATCATTCTTAGCACAAAAGGTAATTAGCCCTTTAGGCAAAAAAAAAAAAAAAAAAAAAGTCAGCCTGATTAGTCGTTCACACACACGAAAGAGTGCGTTTTCACACATCTTAATTGCTTCCCTGCTAGTGAAAGTGTAGCTGCAAATCCTTAGAGGCTCGCACCCCCTCCCGTGGTAGTTTCAAGCCATTAGAGGCAACACAGCCTGAATATGTGTGAAAAGCAACTGCTAGCCTTGAATTTATGGGGGAAGCTGAGGTTGGTCCACAGCCCCCATGGAAGACAATAATAAAAAAAAACAGATCACACCACACACACACACACACACACACACACACACACACACACACCTGGAGGCACAAGTAGCACAACTACCAGCTGAAGCTTTCCTTTCCTATCCTTCTGTGTACCCACATCTGCCTGTTAGGGCAGTGGAGCATACCCGTTGAGAAGGAGGGAGGTGTGGACAAGAGCGAAAGGAGACAGCAGCATTTCTGAGGCTAAAATGGAGAGGAGAAACCCGAAAGCCATCACTCACAAGAGTGGGGGCCTTGTAAGATGCCAGACTTGTGCCTGCAGGAGCCAGGTTACTGAGCATTGGTCATGGACCACCTTCAACAGAATGGCTCTTTCTCCAGCATTGAGAGGGATGGAGACTTCTGTAGTCTGAAGGAGCAAAGGTTCAAAGGGGATCCTATTCAGGTTTCCTTGCTACCTGTTTCCAATCTTAGAAACTTGACACATTTAAGATTGGATATGTATAACATGGAAGATTTGCCTCTGTTCTCAGAGATGAGCCTGAGGAGACACAGGTCAGAGAGACGGCCTGTGATGTGACATCTAGGGACCAGGGACAACAGAGGGGAGGATCTGGCAGTGTCATACCCTTCCACAGGGTGGGTCTTTTTTCATAGTATAATTAATGACTTGATTGTTTTTATTTATTATTTAGAGACAAGACAGGCCTTGCTGCCTTGCCTTGACTGACTTCAACTCTTGATCCTCTTGCCTCCCCTTCTCTAGTAGCTGGAATTACAGGCAGTGTCTCTGCACCTCACCCGAATAATCCCACAGTTTTTAAAAGGGGCACTTGGAATGAGAGCAGCTAAGGGGCCCAAAGAAGCCCATGGAAAGGGAGATAGAATGCCTATTCCTGAGATATACATCCACAACTTACAGATTCGGCAGCAACATTGGAGGTCAGCAGGGCCAATTACACCATCAGGGATTGAAGTATAGCAGCCAGGTTTCCCAGTGCCCACTTGGTTCCCAGAAGATCCCTGCTTATTCTCATTAACACCCTCGACCTTTCTGCTCCTTCTCCTTCTCTTTCAGTGCTTTTCCCTTAGTAACACATTCCCCAAATGGTAGCAAGAGAAGGTAGAGAAGAATAATCCAAAGTAAAAACTATCCCGAAGAGAATGAGATCTGAATAAAACACAGTTCTTTACTGACAGTGGACGTTGGGGTCTTTAGTGGAGTTGAATAAAAGCAACAATAGAGAAACCAAGCCACATCCATATGCGTCTTTATATGGAAATGTTTTGTTCACCGTGATATGCACAGACATTGCCTGACTAAATAAGTGTCTTGTCTGTGTGCTTTTCATAGTATGACAGGCCTGGGAGGCATACAGATCTGGGCTTAAATCCTGGCTCATCCACTTAACAGCTGGATGACATGGGCGAGTTCCTCAGCCTGGAATTCCTCTTCTATAAACAAAGAACAAAAATGCTGTGAATATTGTCATGATTAAATGAGATATAAAACCATTAAGCATTTAGTAAATACTGTTTATCATCATCAACACCAGCATGGTCATCATAATTACCATGATTATTAAATAAATAGACTATTCTTACCATTGTGTGTATGAATTTTGACTGTCTGAAGTTTTGATTGATATAGTTACCTATTGTATGGATGTATGTTATATCCAGCTGCTATTACTGTGTTTAGAGGCTAAGGAGATGTTCATGAAGTGATTGTCAGTCTTAGTATTTAATGTGAACCTCCATGGTGTGTGTGTGTTCTGGTGTTATTTGTTGCTATGATAAAACTCTCTGACCAAATGCAACTCAGGGTAAGGCAAGTTTATGTGACCGTACAGGTGGCAGGTAGTTATAGGGGGAAGTCAAAGCGGGAGTTTGGAGCAGGCACCATGCAGGAGGAACTTGGAAGCTGGCATAGGCTCATGCTCAGCTGGCTTTTTCATGCAGTCCAGGACTATTTGCTTAGGGAATGGTGCCACCCACAACTGGCTGGACCCTCCTCCATTAATGGACAGTGAAGACAATCAATTCCCCGCAGATACATCCACAGACCAATCTGACCCGGGCAATCCCTCAATTGAGACTTCTTTCTTGGGTGACTATAGACTGTGTCAAGTTAAATCTAACTAGGAAAATATTTATGCAGCCTATTAGGTTTTGGAAACAAGGTATTATAGTGTAGCCCAAGCGGCCTTCAAACACAGGCAAACCTTTTGCATTTGCCACCTGAGTGATGGGATTACAGACATAGCCACTGACCCTGGCTATATTTTGATTCATACATGCTCACTTGTTTGTTGCTGAGAATGTGCTCTCAGAAAGAGTTAAGCTTCTTTGGATTTGAGGAAAAGTCAAAGCAAAGTTCCTCATGATCCAGGATGGTGCTTTGTGTCTGGAATGAAGAAAGCCAGTTCCCCAGGCTTTGTCTCACTTGGGTAGAAGGGGGTGAGCAGCTCAGAGGCTCACAGAGGCCCCCTCCTTGCTGAAGCGCTGGGAAGCATTGTGTGCTCGAGCCTCGCCCTGCCACCTCCCTGAAGAGCTCGGCTTGGAGCATGCCACCTGGCCAGGGCTCCTGTAGAAGAACTGATCATAACACAGGTTTATTCTGGAACGACCACTTTCTTTTTTAACTTTAATTAATCATTCTGTGGGAGGGAGATTGAGACAGGGTCGCTATGTAGCACAGGCTGCCCTCAAATTTACTGACATTTTGTCTCAGCTTCCAAAGTGCTGGGATTGACTATCCATGGATTGAGCTACCATGCCAGACCGCACACATCGCTGTCATGATAACCAAGTGTTTACTGTGTTTGCAATCCCTGTCAGCAGCAAATCCTCTGGGGCTTCCTCTGGTCCAAGTGATTCACTAGACAAAATACACACACACACACACACACACACACACACACACACACACACACAAACTTCTGGTTTAAGCATCTCTCACCTCTTATTCAAGAGTGACTGGGCAGGTTGAACGTAGTGGCACTTGGGTGGAAGAAGCAGGCAGATCTCTAAGACTGTGAGTTTGAGGTCAGTCTGGTCTAGACAATTAGTTCAGACTAAGCAGAGATACACAGAGAGACTATAACCAAAAATAAAAAGTGACTGGGCAATCCTAGCAATCATGTTTCCATCCTCACAGCATGAAAATGCAAAGCCTATAGGAGTGCCAGCCCGTGAGTAATACAACTCAGGTGTTATCCTTAGTGGTCTTGCTGTGTTTGGCAGCAGAGGTATTAAAGGTGCCTCATTTCTGGGTGGCTCAATAATGCATGCAATCTTTTGATACAGTTAATTCATCTAAATTGGAAGAATCCCGGATGATATTGTACTCGTCGGCCTCAAGAGGTACTGTGGAAAGGTGTCGCGGAGAAGAGCAGAGTCCGTGCAAATCTCGTCACTGTCACAGCTAGTAATGGCTTCCTGTAGCGCGCGGAGATGTAGCGCGCACCATGGCGCTGTCATGTCAGGGGCACGGGGCCTGGGCGCCATTTGCTGTTCCACGTCAAACTTGACAGCTTGTGCGCAACTTGTGCGCATGCGCGCCCACAGCGCATGCGCGCAAGAGCCCCCCCAGGGCGGGGAGTATTTCGATCTGGCCATCCGATCTGGCCAATAATAATTTAAGCACGATCACTCCATTCTGGCCTGAGCCATTGGGTTGATGACACGTCAGGGCTTTGTCTGGCACCGTATATATTCTTCTGCCTCACGGGGACAGGGTCTTTTGCCTCTTTACAACCTCAAGTGTAAGTGCTCCAATAAAGTGTGTTCTGAGAAGAATCCTGTTGTAGTCGTCTCTTCTGCTGGCGGGAGCGGCGTGCTGCAGCTTCCGTCACACAGCAGGCGATTTACTGTTCAACTACAGCCTCCCCACACTAATGCAACCTGTAGCTAACAGCGTCCTAACAGTGGGTCTTCTAAAGCTTTTCAAGATCACTGTTAGATTCATTTGGATTTCTTGAATTTTCATTGAATTTTGATCTTGAAAGCCATCTTCCTCTCCCATTAGAAGGTAGGTTTTTCCCAGGGAAACATAAACATTTAGCTAGAGGCAGGCCCAACTTGGCTATGCAAGAAAGCACAAAAGTATCTGGCCAGATATCAGTAAGTTAGGCCTGTGCTAATTCACACAGATCTCTCCTTTCCGTAAGCTCCTTGCTAAGAAGAGCCATGTGCAGGCCAACATTTAGCAACTTTTCCAGTAGGCACAGTGTGTCCTTGCAGCCATCGGGGACTAATACCCTGTGGCACAAGCTGTTGGCTACCCCCAAATTACCAAGGTTCTTCAGAGCTCATGGAGAAATGCAGATCTAGCAGTCATCTGGGACTCAGAACCATGTAAATTATGTATAAGAGTGAAGTCAGTCATAAATGACCGTCTTTGACACTAAGACAGCTTGGACCTTTGAAGAAATGGGAAAGATGTTTTCCTATGACTCAGCTTTCTTCAGCATCCAGGAAATTGCTAAGGATACTGAAAACAAGTGTGCTTCTTTACTGGGATGGGTGCCAGCCGTAGGATCTGCACTGGCTGGCTGTGGAAAATCCCAAAGGAATAGCTTGGTTGGGAACAGGCGATTAGGTCGTTACCACCGTCATCTTCTGGTGACGCTTTCTGTCCCTTTGATGGTTTCTTTCCCACTCAGGGCTCCAGGGTGATTCGTTACCTTAGTGGGTCAAGGCCTGTTTGATTCAGCAAGGCCTCCAGTGAGGATGATTCTGGACAATCGAAGATAGTCCCACGATGCCCTGGAATTCCTCTCTTGAGTCAGGCGATGGTGGTGCATGCCTTTAATCCCAGCTTTTGGGAAGATATAGATAGGTGGCTCTCCATGAGTTTGAGGCCAGCCTGTTTTGCCAAGTGATTTCCAGGACAGGCTCCAAAGCTACAGAGAAACCCTGTCTTGAACAAACAAGCAAACAAACAAACAAAGGTAGAATTCTGAAAGGCCGGAGTTCAGGGCTTCCCTGAGGAAAATTCAGCAAAAATTCAGATAATAATTTGAACTGGGGCAGGGAGCCATGTTTACTCTCTCCTGGATACACATGGTATGAACTGTCATTATTCCTTGATTTGGTTAACAGGGGAGGGTGTAGGTTATATCCCTTTCCATCAAACTGTCTACAAAGGCTGGCTTGCTCAAGGGCTGAGAAGGACTAGACAGTGGCTAGGAGTGGCGTACTGCTTGACTGCTGGGTGTGAGTAAGTTCACTCTCCAATGCTGCAAATAATGGTAGCAAGAGTAATCATTCAAAAAGAAGATACTGGGGCAGAGACAGTGGATGTGTTTTACTAGTCTGATGTGGAGTGAGCTCCGTGAGGCTCGGCCTCCCAGGGGAAGCAGGGCTTTACCTGTGTACTGAGATGGAGCTGTATTTGAGCAGGTAGAGAGGAGAGGGTCAGCATCATGAACAAAATTCGAGAAGGCGAGATGAGCACCATGAAGGTTCTGTGACCTGAAACTGAAATCGCAGAGACTACTGAATGAATTTATGAAAGAGATACATGGAAATCATTGCAACAAATATTTACCACACAAAATGCACTCCAGTTAGTAGTAGGACTGGAATAATGTTCAAAGCAGTTGCTTTCTTTTGGGTAAGGGGAGGTTGTTTGTTTTGTTTTTCAAGACAGGGACTCTTTATGTAACTGCTCTGGCTTTCCTGGAACTTGCTGTGTAGACCAGCCTGGCCTCGAACTCACAGAAATCCATCTGCCTTTTCTTCCTGAGTCCTGGGTTAAAGGCATGCGCCACCACTGCCCAGCTGCAGCCACTTTCTTTTGGGAGAACCTTTAAAAGTTATCTATGTGGCCTGGATCGTGTCCTCCCTCTACACTACAGCTGGAGACCATTGCTTATCTTTAAACTTCCATAGTATTCCCTGGTAGATCAATCCAAGTGGAGTCGTAGGTGCTAAGTGTCACTACTGAAAAGTTAAGGGAGCAGACAAACACCAAACAGACAAGCTTTTCCAGAAAAAGGAGTCCCATATCTAACTAACTGGAAAGGGCCCAGGCAACCAAATCATGGTAATAAGGAAGTAGTCAGTCCTCTTGCATCCTTACCAGAAAAACGCCTGAAGTAATCTGACTGAAGTTATCAGCCCGCTTTTGTTCCATGGCTGTTTCCTTCTTCCTGCCAAAATCCCAGCTGTCCTAGGCCTATTCAAGCACACTGTGTTTTAATCTAGAATTCCAAATAAAAGACATCTAAAAATTTAAAGGACATTGATGGTGCTTTTTCCTTTTGTATTTTGCACAAATACAATTTGTATTTGTACACCCTCCTCCCGACACACAGCAGTCCTCTCACAAACAACAGATCACTTCAGCACACAACAAGAGAGCCTCCACCTGCAAGGTGACCAAAGAGGCTTTGGAATGAGACTGTCCTTCTCATTCCTTTTAACCTTGGACTATTAGCCTCTGGGACTGTGTAACCTGTCTGCTGTTGGGACTACCAAGTCCACGGTGTCTGTTATGGCCCAATCTGTTGAAGCCAAGCACATATTACAGTATTCCAAGACTACCTCTCTCATGAGCTGCTGGAGGAACTGATGGGAGATCAGCCATTGGCCTCAGTCAGTCTACTCCTAAGCTCATCAGGCTTACACCTGGAAAGACGCAAGCTCCTGACTCAGGGAGATAAAGAACTGCTGCATAGCCAGGAGCTGACCTCTAACCTAAGGGCAAAGGTGATGTCCTCTCTTCTGGGACCAATCTGCTGCTCTGTCCCACGCTCTGTGAGGATGCAAGAATGGCTCTTCCATGGTTGCCTTAGTCATCCCCTCTCTGGCTAGATGAGGACCAGCAGCGCTCTCTTGATTTAGACTCCGTTTATTTGATTCTGTCTAATGATCGAAGAATTCATGCCCAGATGCTTTGGAACCTAGCCAATTGCCTGCCCAAGGCCAGTTCACCAGCACAGTACCACCTGAACAACTGGTCAATCACATTTACTAATAGTGAGAAGATACAAACGGATTGAATGATTTTGACACGCTTGCCTAGCATTGTGCTTAGTGTTTTCAGTCATCCTCTCACTGAATCCTGTCTAGTCTACAAACTGATGAACCAAAGATAATGATCTTCATTTCTCAAAAGACAAGATAGGTTAATAAACAAACCCAAGGTCACACATTAAAATGAATGCAGACTTCAAAGTCACCCTGAAACCATCGAAGCATGAATTCGGATTAAGTAAGAATGATGACCCAGAACAAGTCTGTTTTCAAATACCAGCTGACAAATATAGTTATATTTTAAATATTCTATACAATATTCTCAAATTTTCAAAGGCTAACTAAATGTTTCCTGTCATCAGAAGGTGAAATACACTACATACCATTTCTCAGCTCTCCCATCTCAGTTTTGTCTCCTCTCCTCTCCTCTCCTCTCCTCTCCTCTCCTCTCCTCTCCTCTCCTCTCCTCTCCTTTTCTTTCCTTCCCCTCTCTTTTTCCCTCCCTCCCTTTCCCTTCCTTCCTTCCTTCCTTCCTTCCTTCCTTCCTTCCTTCCTTCCTTCCTTCCTTCCGTCCTAATTTCGGCTTGGGGTTTTTGACTTCCTTTAAATCAAAACCCTTGTGGTCATATCTGTTCATAAACTTGGAGAGTCACTCCAACTTGGAAATTCTTCCTGCAGGGAAAGCATTCTGGACAGAAGCCTGCTGCACTCTGTGCATCAACTCACAGACACAAAGGGGTCCAGAGGGACGGACCGAATTCTCCGGAACCTACAGAACAACTGGCAATAGTTGGCAGAGGTTCTAAAGACCTAGTGTGTTTGTTTTAAAAATCAGCTCAAAGGTGTCCCTAATGAACTATTACTCGACATGTCACGGGTTATCTTATTGAGCAGCTACACTGAACCATGCAATACCCACTGTGGGCTCTCACCACAGCCTCGCCACAGTCATCTCCACCACCATGCTTGCTTGGCAAAGTCCGGACAGGATGCTAGAGACCCACTGCATTGCCACGGTTCTCTGTAGAAAATCACTATCAAATATGTCTCCAGCTTTTAGAATCCTTGATTAGAAGAAAGTAATTGTACAATGAACAAAGATTTGCTCTCTTTAACACAGCAAATCAGAGCCTAGTTAAAGACTCCCCAAAGTTGCCCAATGTTCTGCGCCTCCACTGTGGCCACATTAATTTAGCCTCAAAGTCCTGTGATGATTTGACACAACATTTGCAACATACGTTTTTGTTTTATTAACTTATTCTTCCGGTGCCTCGTTTAAAAGATTGGCAAACATTTTTTTTTTTTTTAAAGAAAGAAACAGCATCACTCCCCTGCTGGGAAAATGGGCGGGGGTGGGCTGGTTATCAAAATTCTAAGCGCACGCAAAAACAAAACAAAAACCCACCAAACCAAAACAAAAAAATCCCGCCAGAGCCATCTCTGATCTGAGGAAACACAGGGGGTAAAGCGTCAGCCTAAACCCTGGAAACGGGGGTCACGTGGCTGCGGATCCTGGACGTCACCGGTGAGTGGCTCGGGGTCCCGGCAGTCGCGAAGCCGGAGCCCGCGGCGCTGGCAGCCGCACGTAGCGCGCTTCTGACTCAGCGCTGAGTCACTGCTCCTCGCCGACTCGGTGCTTGCCCTGCCGGCCGCGGGCAGCCCGGCACAATGCACGCTGGTGCGGAGCCCTCCGTGTGCCGCAGACTTGTCGCTTCCCGGAGCAGGACACGTTTTACAGCTTTTGAATCCCGACCAAGCCCACTATTCTGCCTGCATGGTTCCTTTGCTCTTTAGGGCTAACTGGTCTAGAGATGAAATTGTTCCGTCAGAAGCTAGTAGGAACGAATCACCGACTTTGTTCTTGAACAGTGACTTTGAGATGACCTCCGTTCAGATTTTACATCTGCTGTTCCAAACTTCTATCTTATGTTTCGCCCTCCATTTCATAAGGTTAACTTCAGTATGTTGGTAACTAATCTTGTCACAAACCCCCAACTGTGGTGACGCAAGTCTGGTTGGAATCTGGCATGGTGTACAGGCAGTGACTTACTGTAAAAACCAGGACCTTCATCACGACTCCTATCTGTCATCTCAGGCGTTGATTAGCTGCCTTGCCCTTTGAAAAGTCCTGGGGTTTGGATGGTCTGTTGAAATCTGTCTTCATAGTGGCCACGTTCCTTGCTTCCTCCTTGGAGTTTAGAGCGAAGAGAAGTAGAGATAAGCATTTCTCC